TCTGCGTTTAGGGATGAGGGGGTAAGAGGCGTCTGAACTATGTGCGTGTTCCTGATGCACACTGAAATGAGGAGATGCAGTTTAATTAAAGGGGGGATCCATTTCCCTCACCGTGTCCGGCCCATAATTAGATTGTAACGCGTGCGCAGCTTTAAGGTGCCGAATGTGCAGCCAATGTGGACGAATGTGTCTTATAAATGAGCGAATCTTATCAGAGGTAAACGTGTCCTTCATCTGTATACGTTCTCCTCTAATCATTCACCAAACACTACGAATGTCTTCACAGGGTGTCCTCCAGCCGTGTAGAGGGGGAGGGGGCTATGTACGCAAGGTCCGGATTATTTACTGAATGAACCAAAACTGTATTTACTGACTCTGTGAATGATAAGAGGTGGGAGAGGAGAGTTAGGAAAGCACATAGGAGAGGAAAGAAGGGGAAAGGAGAACATGGTGAAGAGAGATGGGGAGAAGATGGTAGAGGAGAAGAGAGGAGAGAAGGGGAAAGGAGAACATGGTGAAGAGAGAAGAGGAAAAGATGGGAGAGAACAGAGGAGAGAAGGGGAAAGGAGAACATGGTGAAGAGAGATGGGGAGAAGATGGGAGAGGAGAAGAGAGGTGAAGAGAGAAGGGGAAAGGAGAACACAGTGAAGATAGAAGAGGAGATGAGAAGAGAGGTGAAGAGAGAAGGGGAAAGGAGAACACAGTAAAGATAGAAGAGGAGATGAGACGAAAGGTGAAGAGAGAAGGGGAAAGGAGAACACAGTAAAGATAGAAGAGGAGATGAGACGAAAGGTGAAGAGAGAAGGGGAAAGGAGAACACAGTAAAGATAGAAGAGGAGATGAGACGAAAGGTGAAGAGAGAAGGGGAAAGGAGAACACAGTAAAGATAGAAGAGGAGATGAGACGAAAGGTGAAGAGAGAAGGGGAAAGGAGAACATGGTGAAGAGAGAAGAAAATAAGATGGGAGAGGAGATGAGTAGTGAGGTGAGGAGAGAAGGGGAAAGGAGAACACTGTGAAGAGAGAAGATGGGAGATGAGGGGAGAGGACAGAGAAGGAAAGGAGGGCATGTTGAAGAAAGAAGAAGAGAGGAGATGAGAAGAGAGCCGAGGAGAGAGGGGAAAAGTAGAGCATAGTGAAGAGGAGAAGATGGGAGAGGAGATGGGAAGAGAGAATTGGAAAGGAGAGAGAGAGAAGAATATGGGAAATGTTGGGCTGAATCTGTGGAAAATATAAAGGGGTGGGTTTGACTCCAGGGTAAGAGAACAGAAGTGTGGAGAGGTCCTGAGGCTGGCGTAAATAGAGATATACCTGATTATTACTCTTATTTAGAGACAGAAACAAAACCCTGGAGGGCAAGGAATAAGCTGCATTTTCCCTCTTTATTTTCTATGTATCTTTTTTTTTTTTTATTTCTATTTTCCATATAGATATTTCACAACGATTAAGATGTCAAGTAAACTATAGACTAATAATAACATATGTTGCCCTATAAGGGGATATGTGGCACATTAATATTAGAGGGGTTCTTCCCTTTATGAACTTGACACTAGGTTTGGGATGAGAGGATTTCATGATGACACCTTTTGTAATTCAGGTTTGACACTGTTAACGTCACTTCACAATGATATAGATGTACGGTGGAATGAATGTACCTATGAATAGGTTAAAGGAGAACTATGAGATGAGTGATTTTCACTCACCTCCTAGTTCTAGCCGACCTGTGACAATGAGACTGTCACAGGTCGGCTCAATAGATCGGGAGGTGAGCGAACACATACCGGCGTTCGCTCACTTCTCGATCCTGTCAAGGCTCTCTGCCGTGACAGGGGGAGGGGCTGGATTCCCCTCTCCCCGCTCCGCCAGCGCTGACTGGCGAAATGGACGGGGCAGGTACAGCTGGCTCTGCCTCTAGATAGGCAGAGGCAGCTGTCACTCACGCAGCTGGGCGGATCCCGGCACAATTGTCGGGATCCGCTTCAGCTGCGGCGTCTCAGTATAGCGGGAGCTACAGCTCGCGGTATACTGAGCTTAGGGTGACGGGAGGACGCTAGTTTGTGTCCTCCCGTTACCCTAAGGAGAACTATGGGGAAAAGCCCTGACCCCCAAAGTTCTCCTAGGTGTATGCGTAGATATGTACACGTATATATAAATATTTTTCTCACAAGGATTAAGATGTAAAGTAAATTGTAGATTAATAATAACATTTGATATTCCATAAGAGGATATGCGGCACAATAATATCACAGGGGATTTTTTATTTTTTTTCCCTCGATGAACTTGACACTAGGTATGGGAAGATGGGGTTTTTTTTTAGTTTTTTTTATTATGACTACACCGCCCACAAAGATATAGAAGTATGATGGTTAAGGTTTCAATGTATATATGAATAGGTTTAGGGAATGGGTAGGCATGTGCAGGGCAGCCATCAGAAATTTTGGGGCCCCTTACACGGGTTTAGGCCGGGCCTCCCCCCCACCCGCCGCTGTATGCAGGTCTTAGTGACGCGCTGGGCGCAGGGCTTAGTGACGCGCTGGACACAGGACCCACCTGAGAGTGACCCTGCAGAGCCCACCATAGATGCTGCACAGCCCATCTGCAACTGTTTATGGTGGGCTCTGAAGGGGTCTCAGGTGGGCTGGATCCCTCCCCTCCCTCCTTTCCTTCCTTCCTAGCTCCTCTGACCTGCACATATGGCCTCCACTGCCGCCGGACCGGCCAGAAGTGACGTCACGTCACTGACGTGACGTCACTTCCGGCCAGTCCAGAGTAGTATGATGATGTAAGATATTGTGACTGTTACATTATTTATTTTCATGTCTTATTTCTCTAATGTATTGTTGGAATAAAAATAAAAAGTTGATAAACAAAAAAAAAGAATATGGGAGAGGAGAGGAAAAGAGATGATGGGAGACAAAAGGAGAGGATGATGGAAGATGAGAAGGGAGAGGAAAGGAGAGGTTGAGAGAGGAGGAGAGGAGAGGAGAGGGAAGCAAAGGGAAGAGGGGAGATGAAAGAAGGGGAAGAGGATTGTCTGAGCAGATTCTGAGCCTCCATGCTGGAAATATGGAACAGCAAACAAGTAAAGTGACTCTCATCTGACAGTCGTATGTCTCCTCTGTACAGCCGCCAACGTTTCCCTTTCTCAGCCATCAGGTTCATTATCTGTATTTCATGTATTATCATCGCCTGAGTCAGCGCATGTTCTGAGTTCCCCTCCTATAGCGGGGGATGGGCAGAGTGACTCATTCTTACATAATGTACTATTGTTTGTTTTCTACATTGTATATTCTGAGGAGTGGAAGTGCAGTGCAGGCGTCACCCTCCAACCCGCCGTACACCCCACTGGTGAAGACTCCCCCCATACAGACGTCACCCTCCAACCCGCCATACACCCCACTTGTGAAGACTCCCCCCATACAGGCGTCACCCTCCAACCCGCCATACACCCCACTGGTGAAGACTCCCCCCATACAGGCGTCACCCTCCAACCCGCCATACACCTCACTGGTGAAGCCTCCCCCCATACAAGCGTCACCCTCCAACCCGCCATACACCCCACTGGTGAAGTCTCCCCCCATACAGACGTCACCCTCCAACCCGCCGTACACCCCACTGGTGAAGAGTCCCCCCATACAGGCGTCACCCTCCAACCCGCCATACACCTCAATGGGACAGACTCCCCCCATAGGGGTGTCAGGTGGCGGCTACAACAGGTTCCTTCTCTCCCTTCGGTTTCATTGATAATATGGTGAAATTAAGCACAGGGATGGAAGGAGCTCCTCATAATGGGCACAGCAGGTGTATAGACCCGGGAACTCAGCACAGGGATGGTGGGAGCCCCTCATAATGGGCACAGCAGGTGTACAGTCAGGGAACTCAGCACAGGGATGGTGGGAGCCCCTCATAATGGGCACAGCATGGTCAATGGGCCTTACTCTCCAGTGAACCCTGAGTGTGAGCTCTTCTTCTCCTGTGTGCGCTCAGGTGGAGAGTCGCGCCCTCCTGCAGATGTTGCTGGTTTCCAGTATGTAAATTGGGGTGATTTGCATCGGCAGCGCAGAGCCGGGGTGACATCCTGCAGCCACCACGCAGGCAGCTGCTGTGGGCGCCGGAGTTCGCTGCGTCTGGGCGGATGCAGGGCGCTCGTCTTCCTTTTCCTATCCTGAACGCGGCTCGTTGCGGTTTCCTTCCCACAAAAAAACTCTCAGCAGCAGCGGCCAATCTGGCTCTGCGGCTCAACCATGGCACCCAGCCGGGTCCTGCACATCTGCGCCATTAATCACCATATCACCGGGACAGGATTGCATGAATCAATCCTAAAATGTCACCATACACAGCAACAGCATCATCATCTGTCAGAGGAGCTCCAGTCCAGTGACATGGCCTAGGGTGAGATGATGTCATCAGTCTGCTGCGGGCAGGAGGAAGCATTTCCTCAGTCTCCCCTCCCCCAGTGATCAGTCTGCTGCAGGCAGGAGGAAGCATTTCCTCAGTCTCCCCTCCCCCAGTGATCACACTGTACATTGTAACAAGTCACAAGGCGAGAGCCTGCAGCAGGGGCTGATCTGTATCAGACATTTGGAGATTTCATACTGACGCATGCTGCATTTAACATGCAACCCACATGTGGTGACAGGTCCACTTTAAAACTCACGTTTCACATCAGCCAACAGGGCAGCTTCATCAGATCACAAAAAAAAACAATGTTCCCCTTTCGTGTTGTAAACGTGGCGAATCTTAACATTGAGGGCCAACTTTAGCATGCCGTAAGCGCGCTTTTTGAACCAGGGTCGATAGCTGCCCTTTAAATCTGTCATGCTCATCCTTTTTATTCTTCTTCTTCTCTGTGCCAGAGCTCTCGGAGAACACCCAAGTGGTCCCTCTGCACTCCGGCGTGAACCTGACCTGCCCCGGCTGCCACGGCCGGGCGCGGTGGAGCCGACACAGCCGGACGGCGAAGCTGCAGGACGGCGCCCGCCTGATCCTGCCGTCTTTTGGCTATGAGGAGGAGGATGACTACACCTGCTACAGGGACGGCGTCCCCGCCTGCACGGTGCAGCTGCTGGCGAAAGGTGAGAGCCAATCGCTGCTGTTGGTTTCCTCGTCCGGTGGAAACCAACGCACCCGCGCAGGGGTCACGAGTGGTGGGAGGGGTCACGAGCGGTGGGAGGAGTCATTTCCCCCCCCCCTTTTTGAGGTTAAATTCTTTTTATTCCCAGATGACCTCGAGAAGCCGAAGATTTCGTGTTACATCCGCCACCCCACCTACAACATCACCTGCGAATGGCAGACCACCAGGAAGCTCCGCCCACACGCCAAGGTCACGCTCATAGCGTGGATGTAAGTGCTGGTGATTGTATGATCGGATTGTATGGTGTGGTTGGCCAGCTGCGGGCCTCGGCGGCCAGGGTACTGATGTGGTTTTTTTATCTGTGGCGCCACCTGCAGGGTGAACAGTGAACACATCAGGAACAGCTGCTCTTACCTCGCCGCCACCGGAAAGTTCACCTGCTCCACGCCGTACAAGGAAGGGGACAGCGGGCGGCACACCATGTCTCTGTGTGTCATCGGCCGGACGGACAGCCAGACCAGCAACATCGTGGACAGCACCATGGAAAAACTAGGTACGTAGGCGGGTCATCGTGACTCCGTGTGGGCGGGAGAAGTGCTGTGCAGTGCCCCGCCCCTGAGGTGCACACCTATTGCAAAGAAATGTGTGACCAGTGTTCTTGAATTTATTGCTGATGTTTCGTTGTCCCCCCCAGTGCAGCCTGACGCCCCGATCAATGTGACAGTCGCCTCGTTGGAGAACCGGCCCTACAGCCTCCGGGTCTCCTGGTCGCCCACCATGCCGTGGCTGAACACATTTTATAAGCTGGACTACCAAGTGCAGTACCACGTGGAGGGCGCCCCACACGTCTCCAACGTAAGTCTGCTACCACCGAATCTACAGATCAGACAAACGTACTGTCACCCCACCCCTGCGGTACCACCAGAACCCGATCAGATCAGAACCCGAAGCTCTGTAGACTCCGCCCCCAGTGTCCTGCCTGCTCATTGAGCTACAAGTGAGTGCTGCCACACTAAACACACCCACCTGGAGCGCTCCCCTCCTGTACGCCCACCCTGAGCTCTCTCCCTCCTGTACCCCCACCCTGAGCTCTCTCCCTCCTGTACGCCCACCCTGAGCTCTCTCCCTCCTGTACCCCCACCCTGAGCTCTCTCCTTCCTGTACCCCCACCCTGAGCTCTCTCCCTCATGTACACCCACCCTACATCTTCCAGCTGCTGCAGACCAGCGGTTGTGATCAGATTAATGTGCTCACATCAGCAATATCAGGATTTAACTTTTTGTGCACCTTGTCAAAAACATTTCTTGTGAAAGTGAAACCGTGCGGGGGCGAAAACGAAAAACAGCGCATTCCACGCACACCGTTCCTTATCGCGGCCATCTACGACCTGCGCTGGGGTTCAGGGAGTTTTGTGCCGTTGAATCGGATATTTATTCATTTATTTATGACTATCTGGAGTGGTTGCTGAGTGTACGATCTGCAGAGCAACTACAAATCCCGGCACTGCTATCAATAGATGATGCCCATAAGACCGAAACACTGAAATTGATACTGCTTTCCCTCTGCCCAACAATTATGTCAATTCTGGTGCCAGTTCTTAGCTGTGTTTACAAATGTCTGACACAGATCAGCCCCCTGCTGCAGCCTCTCTTCTTGTGACTGGATACAAAGTTACAATGTACAGTGTGATCACTGGGGGGGGGGGACTG